ATTCAGGCATTGAGTAGTCCATCCCCATATTTATGATAAAATGAGTGTATTTTATTCAAAATAGACAATTGAGATTAACTTGGTTCCTTTGATTTAAATTTTTAAAAAACGTTTACAGTAACTAATATCAAATCAATTATTCATTAGGGGGTTAACCTGTGGCAACAGTATTTATCACAATGTTAACATATGCCTAAAATAGTGTATAATACACTGTTATGGACTATTATTTTATTTCAAGTTACAGCTTTTACAATAAGAAAAGATGATTTTTTAGAACAGGTACGACGCCTCGACCACTGGTGCGATCGGAAAACATCGGGGAATTCTTTAGATGAGATTGGTATTGGCAGCCGACACGAATATCGGTCGCAGGTTTATGTGTAGCCTGGGAATAAATACTCAAAATTAACTACCAGTAGCTTATTAAGCCTAACGTTTGAGAATCAAGTATATTACAATACGTTATCACAACAATATGTATTTAGCCTGATTTATAACCTACCTATAAGCCGAATTTAAACTAATTAAGGGACAATCAATTAGTCGTTAGGTTGTATTTACATAATAAAACAATGTATTTAACCTGTTTTATGTTTACCAATAACTTCGATTATATCTAAGCCTAAAGTACCGTTACACATCCTGAGCCTAATCTAACGTTGTAGTACAGATTACACTACTAAGCTCTAATTTAAAGCTTTAACCCTACTAGTTTTATTTACTAATCTTCTTAAATCAAGTTTTTTTGTTAATTAACCCAAATTACTACAAATGATAATATTAATATTAAAATAGCAGTGATTCGCAAAACACTTGCGGTTATTTTCATGCCCTTCGCTTGAATTTTCCTTATTCTTTCATTTTCAAGCACGGCATTTAAGCTACGCTTTTTTGCAGGCATTATGTATTAGATCGATAAATTCTGGTCTATTTGAAAAAATTTACGTGGTCAGACAAACAAACTTTCGTAGACGTAGCTTTTTAAATAAAATTACACTTAAATAAACAGTAAAGTATAGTGATGGTATTTATAATAGTGTACACAGTATGAAACAGCTGTGAGCGTTTGGTGTATGGCAGGGTTTTACGAGTTGAAACAAAAAAACTCACAAAATGAAGAATAAAACCCGTAATAAAGAAAAAAGTAGCTAAAAGGTGTTTTATAAGATGAACTGTAGTTAAATTATTGCAAAATAAAGTAAATGTAAAGTCGCAATGAAGGCAAACTTAGCTGAATATGCAGAAACGTCTGAATTCGTATTCATAAAGTGATAAGTATATGGTTTTGAACAAACTGCGCATGCGTATTTTAGACCTAAATAAGTCGAGTAACTTTATAGCAACTGTATTTAGTGTAATTTTAATTTCTTTAGGAATACACGCGGGTTAAGTGTTGTTTGTGTGAAATACTTTGCAAATAAAAAACTAAAGTTGAAATCGAAGCCAGGATACGTCAATCGTCACATGATGACAACGACATTGTGCCATCGTGTACTATACCTGTTGCATTAAAAAGTTTAACCAAGCAAAAATCAGGTAAGATGATTCTGAATGGAAAAGCCGATATGCAATTCGTACTTATCGGACAAAAGCCTTTCTTACGATATGAGATTTATAGCATTTGATCGAGAAACTTGCGAGAAAAGTTCCGGACAAACAAACGCGAGCGTATGTTTTTATAAAAACCTTTCTAACGTCTTCTCTCTTCCGTAGCGCCCTCTACATTTCTATATATATATAAAATGTTCCAGATGTGACAGTAAAGTGGATTCTATATATAAATGTATCAGTATTGAAACATACAGAGACTTAAGAAAGAACAGAAAATCATCATGCTACTCAAGTATCCACAGCCTCGAATGTTTACAAGGTTTAAGTTTTGCACAATGTTTCTTTTTTCTACTGGAATATTATTGACTGTGTTTAAGATGAAAAACGTAAGTAAATACAGAGCTAAGTCACTAAGTATGACAAAAACGGTAAGTAATTGTTATATTGCTTGCAATACACTTGTTCCGGACGAGCTAACAGCAAAAAAGTAAATAAAAATACTGAATATTTAGTGTTTTATATCTCAAAACTTTAAGTTAAAGAATCGTTGATCCGCAAATATAATTATAGTTCTGTAAACGTTAGTGGTTTACTGGATTTTATTTTTACTTATTTTTTTAGTTTCAAGTGTTAGAAATTCAGGGTTTGAGAGAGAGAAAAAAGAATAAATATAATTGCTTATGAAACTTCAATTCTGGACGAGCTATCCAACAATAAGGTTTTAATCAAATTTATGAACAGAAAACAATCTATCAGCAGGACTTTATGTCCCAATACATAGAGATAAACAACCTTTGACGTAAAAGTAAGAGACCTTTCTTCTTGGCCCGGCATGGCCAGGTGGTTAAGGCGCTCGACTCACAATCTGAGGGTCGCGGGTTCGAATCCGCATCCCACCAAACATGCTCGCCCTTTCACCCGTGGGGGCGTTATAATGTGACGGTCAATCCCATTATTCGTTGGTAAAAGAGTAACCCAAGAGTTGTCAGTGGGTGGAGATGACCAGCTTCCTTCCTTCTAGTCTTACACTGCTAAATTAGGGACGGCTAGTGTAGATAGCCCTAGTGTAGCTTTGCGTGAAATTCAAAACAAACAAACAAAAATTTCTTCTTAATAGTTTCCGTGGTTACTAGATTTTAGTTTTATTAATGCGCATCTCGAAACTTGATCTGAAACTTTAACAAACTTTTATTCAATGCGTAACATCTAGCATTAAAACTAATATTTATTTTTAAAGGTCAAAGTCATTTAATATCTTAAATTATCTATATAATGACCATCATGAAAATACTGCATGATCAAACTTTTCCGAATAAAGAAATCAAAGTTAAAGATCAATCTCATTACTTGGGTATATGAAAGCTGGACCTTAAAAGCATATCTATTGAAAGCAATGATAGCATTGGAACTTATAGCCAAGTTTTCGATGTTCTAATTATTATCATATTACAAGATAAAGCTTTTTACTGGTGCGATCATTCTCAAGTACACATGTTTTCCCCATCGTAACAACCACAGACCTTAAAACTAGCCGACTAATACTCTCATTAATTGATTGATAACACAGTACCTTGTCAACTCGCCTACTGATTTAATAACGAACTTATCACTAATTAACTCAACACGAAATTGATAATGTTCGAATTAACACATAGTACGTTACTCAAAAACAGCTTAGCTTCTCAAACTAAAAAAAAAAAATCTAACTGCGTCAGCAAAGTCAAAGCTAAAAATCGGTTCTCTTTGTAATATTGAAAATAACTAAGATAGTCATAATAATTTAAAACGAGGACACTTATTGAAATCGAAAAAGAAGAGAAATCTGTAAGAATTATGGGTGTGTTTGAATCTTTATTAACTCAACATATAGTAACCTACACTCATTTATTTATATGAATACTGTTTTGACATTGCGCCTTATTTATTATTCGATATTATACAGCGGACCAACTGTTTTATGATTATATATAAATATTCAAGGCTCATCGGCACAGCTTGGGTCAGCAAATCAAAGAAATACAGTTAGGTCTCTTATAAAGGTGGTGCGTATGAACCTTGAATAGGCGAAACTGCAGTCCACAGCAGAGAGTGCAGCCAATCAATGAATAAAATTAGGCCTTTAAGTCACAGATTATACTTTCAATAAACCCCATTAATCGTATAGAAAATTAATATGTTTATCAAACAGATAAACCAAAAGTGTGAAAGTTGTCTCACTGATAGCTATTCCTCGTGTAAAGAGCAAGAACATTAAATTCGATGACGAGGAACCCACTTTGAGACTAATAATGGTTAGACACGGCTTGAATGGGTAACGAAGAAAAAATTTAATATACGTTTAACATAACTGCAAATGTACAACGTTTCGATAAGGTTTTGTCATCGTATGTGTTTACACGCAGATGCTCTTTATACGGCAATCTTTATGTTCTGTAGCAGTACACCTGTTTTCTATCAAACCTACTGCTGTGATTAGGCTTGAGAGATTCGTCTCTGTGATATAAGATCTTTTGTTTTAGAATCGTCTTTCAATATCACAAGTCTGTAAATGTAACTTTCAAAACAATGACAGTAATAGCTATACAATTAGTTCAATTTGTATATTTTAGATAAATACTCCAAGGAAAATATTCTTTAAATTAACAGGAACAATAGACGAGATCTGTCGTATCGTCCTGATGAAACAAAAGTTTTATTTATTTATAATTTTGAACCTATTGTGTTTGAAGTTAAGCACAAAGCTACACAATGGGCTATCTGTGCTCTGCCCACCACAGGTATAGAAACCCAATTTCTAGAGTTGTAAATCCGCAGACCACTACTTTGCCACTTTGAATAGAAAAGGTTTTCTAATATAAAATTAATTATATAGATACATACTTTGATATTAAAGTTAATTTAATTCATTAAATGTAACGGTTTTTAGATATTTGAACAATCATAAACATAGATACATTGATAATAAAGTGGGTTTAACTCGTTAAACGTAACTTTTTTTACATATTTTAACACTATTTACAGGTTATCTCTAGATGTGCAGTGTAGTATTTTTTAGAATTGAGATTTATTTTGAGCTAATTTGTTACAATAGAGCTATTAAAGTTTTACGTTATTATTATAACTGTTTTCTTTGTTCAACGTTTTCTGTATTTTTGACTAGTCGTTCTGAAAAACATTATGGGATAATATGAACGTGTGGAAGTATTCATGTGAACGTTACCTCTAACATTATGAGATAATGTGAACATGTGGAAGTATTCATGTGAACGTTACCTCTAACATTATGAGATAATGTGAACATGTGGAAGTATTCATGTGAACGTTACCTCTAACATTATGAGATAATGTGAACATGTGGAAGTATTCATGTGAACGTTACCTCTAACACTATGAGATAATGTGAACATGTAGAAGTATTCATGTGTACGTTACCTCTTCACATTTATAAGATGGTAAATTTAAAAAAGTATTAGCAATAACCTTTCAATGTTTATCTCAATACACTATTTTTCTTCGGTTGAAATGCTTTTCGAAACTTGTGTTATGAAAACAATTATAAAAAACGTACTAACCAATGATTTTCTCAATCTCTTCTTTTTTCAGGAAACTAGTTTATCAGAAGAAAATGAAAACAAACCCACGCAAAAGGAATACACCAATAAAGGCTTAATTAATTCTTCACGTTCATTTATAACTCGTCCTCAGACCAGTTCAAATTATTATACTGTAGCTAAAGAAACCAAGCACGTTTCTGTTGAGCCTAGATTTTCCGAAAAACACTTTATCAATTCTCAATTTAAGCACCAAGAACTAAAAAATCCTGCATCCACAGACTGGATCCAAGTTAGGAAAGGTCTTTGTCTTTATTCTGCATTTTGGGATGACAGGAAAAACGTAAAAAACAGTCCATTTATTCGTATTTTTGGAATATTTTTGCAATTTCTTACTATAAAGGAGAAAGAAGAATACTTCTATGGACTAACCTGTTTGTTACGTTCAGATGGGTCGGTATTTCCAGGTGTAGCCACTATGTACAACATGGACGATCCCTATGATAAGAATCTGTATGTTGTTATAACATGTTCTCCTTATAATGAAACCAGTACCGTTCCAAAAAACGTGTCAATTTTCTATCATAATTCGTCACATGCACTCAATTGGATGCCAGTAACGTCTTTTCCAGGAAAATCATTAAGGAGTAAAGGACGAATTGCAGCGTGTGTAAAACCACTGTATGGTCCTTTTACAGATAAGGACCTTCTTGCTCAGTTTCTGGCTTACTATACTATAATAGGTATCGACCACTTTTATATCTACAACAACTTATCTTCAACTGAAGTTTCAGAAGTCATCAGCAACGTGAAAGATAAAGGTGTGTCAATAACAATCATACCTTGGATAATCCCTTACCAACCTCAAATAACTATACAACCCACAAGATTCCTTGAAAGAACGATGTTACAAGATTGTTACTACCGTAGAATGTTTCATTACGAGTACGTTATGAACGTGGACGTCGACGAATTTATTGTGCTGAAGCAACATTCCAGCATTCAGCTGATGTTAAAGACATTGTCGTCATCTGGTCGTTTTGGATATTTCACATTTAGTGAAGTAAGATTTTGTCTTCAGCTTCCATCATATTCTAACATTATACCAAATTTAACTCGAAGTGATCAAACAGCTGTATCAAAGTTGGTCTCCTTGGCAAAAGTCATCAGAACACCCTATAACAAAGCATGGTGGTGGCGGAAGTACATTGTTAAACCGGAAATGGTGGAATATTTTGGGGTTCATTTTGTTACAAAACGACTTCCTGGTTTAAAGTTGTTGGATGTAAGTCCAGAAATCGCTCTTATGCATCATTATCGAAGTAAATTATGTGATTATAAAAGTGAAAAAAATGTGTATGATCCATTTTTACCCAAAACATATTGGAAGAAAATGTTGCGATATTTAAGAGATTGGGGTGTACTACAATGAAGTTGTTGTGCGTTACCATGGAAATATTACTAGGGTAACGCTAGTCAGCAACCTCAGGTTTACACAAATAAAACATAAAAAAAATAAAGATTTATCCTAAAGATCTTTAAATGATCGTGTCGCACCTTAAAGTTTGTTTGTTTCGTTGAAGTTAAGTACAAATCTACACAATGGGCTATCTGTGCTTTTTATTAACTTTAATCAAAGCGAACTAACTACCTAAGTCGTAACCAAAAATAAGTAGTTAAATAATGTACCTATATTTGTATACAGATGTAATTTGGAGTATATAATGTTATAAAATAAAAATTGTAATAATTAGAATTCGCTGACGCATATGTTATTAATTAATGTTTATGTATATATGTGTAGTGTAAACGATGTTATCATTATCCCTTGAAGTTAGCTTTCTCACAGAAATAGAGTGTTCCTACAAAAAGCTTAAGTACAGGGGGAATCAGGAATTACCAACATTGATAGATAAATAATAAATATTACAGTTGGAAACTCATTGTATTTAGAACTTGATCATAAATACAACCTTCCTATATCTATCGAAACACTGTATTAAAAAAACAACAATCAAACAAGTAAAGACTTTTTTTTTTTAACAAAGGAAGTAACTGTAGGGATGGCTAATGTTTTTGAAGGATCGATATTAGCCATCCCTACAGTTACTTCCTTTTTTTCTTTACTTGTTTATACATATTTCTTCCTTCACACCTGTGCACCAAAGTTATCGAGACTATTTTTAAGCGTGACTTTCTTAGTATGCAAGATGCATTAACTTCTGGATAACAGCTGAGTCACGTTTAAATTCTATAACTATAGATGGCCTATCAGGCTTGCATTGCATTATAAATATTTTACTTTCCAAGCCAATTGTCTGCAAATACTTAATTAAAGTCGTTCATGCTGGTGTATAAACATAGCTATTTTCTGTTATAGATATAATTGTCAGTTGGCATACGTTGCAATAAGTTCCCCTATAAAAATAATAAGTTATTTATTTTAATGGAAACATACAAGTTTAAGTTTGTTATGGTCTCACTCAATCCACAAAGAAAAGCAAAACAATTATATTGCTAATGTTCTTTAATTCCTGATGAACTGATAGGTATTGAGAAGACAGTCATCATTTGCTCTTTGGTCTTGAAAAATAAAACAAGTTTTTTTTTTCTTCTTTATATCTTGATTTAATATAACAATTTAATCGTTTTATAGAGAAATGACACTGGTAAGAAAAGCCGATAACCCAAACTGACAAACAACATTTAATCAAAATAATAACTAAACATTTTTTGGGATGTTGTTTCGGTAGAATCTTATATCTAGAATATTTGTTGCTTTTATAAATTACTAGCGAATCCGTGGGCCTACAGAGCCGCTATAATACAAATTTTAACGCTTGAACTACTATTTTGCCTTTATCGGTTTAATCATCATTGCCGCCATAATGCAAGTTAAATTTCTTTAATCAAGGTTACAAACCATAATTAGTAGGCCTATTTATTTTCGTGCTCTAATATAAATCAATGACAAATATGGGGCCCATTTTCGGTAAATCCCCGTGTTGTTTCGAAATGCCCGGGTTTCCTGAGAGGTTGGGCAAAAAGTTTTACCTTTGTGCAAACCTAAGGACCAAGATAATTCGTTTGGTACTGTTGCGTCATCGAGATCATGTGATTCTCACGCTCTCTACTTTCTGGAATTATCCTGTACTTTGGCGAATGTTCTACTTCTTACTAGATATAGGGTGGGCTGGTATATAAAAGAGGGGAAGGTAATGTGTGGGTAGATATTGAGTAATTGAACTGCAGTCAGAGAGCACGAGAGACGTTACAGCGTTTGTTTAGCTCGATTGTTGAAGTTGAGTGCATCGGTAAAGTTATA